CATAGTAGCGCTAGTAAACATGCACAACCCTTTTCGTTTGTCTAATGACATTCAAAGGCTCTCTAAAAGTTTAGGTTCTTATTTGTTTACATATCTATATTATTTTTTCACTAAGCTGAATGAATACATGGAAGTAACCTCTCTTAAAAGTCTGCAGTATATTGCAGTTTTCCAGCTTAATAAATTTCTAAATGATGCACATATTTCTACATAAATATTGTAAAACGTGTTGTCCAGTTGCTGTAAACCACTATTGATTTAACAAAATATGGACTCAGCTCAAATGGGCACCGTGCCCTTCTGCACTTATATTATTTTGTATTGTATTACACAATTGAAGATCTTTCCAATGATTGAAAGCCTGTATGACAATAATCTCACGAACCTATGATCATCTGTCTTGAATGATATAGGCAAAAGTGGTAAAAAATGCAGACACAACCCGTTCAATAGATATAAGATAATTCAATAAGGAATAATCTCAAAAGTTACTGTTATAATAAGATTTTCCACCAGAAGAAAATCAATTTTAAAATCAGAAAATAACATTGCAAATACTTCTTTTTCCTACAGTTACCTAACAATGTACATGTTCTCTCACTGATTTGAGAAAGCAAAGTGGCCAATTCACTCATCAGTGAGACAATGTTAACATTGTCTCACTCTAATTACTTTGTCTCACTCCAGATTTGCAACGTGAAGGCACGAAATAGTGAGCGCGTAACATGCAGGCAACGTCGTGTATGCGCGCGAAATACGTTGGCAACACTGGCTGTAAATCAGCTGGTCAGCTGTTGTACTGTTGTATTTTTCACTTCACGTTAAATGTTATATTAAAAGTTCACTTCTGTGTAAAAATAGGTTATGTTTCTTCACCAATTTATTTGTTTTATGGTAACTGTAGGAAAAGCATAATGTGCAACTCGAGTTCAAAGTACAATTGCCTCACTCGAGAAACCATTCCTCACTCGCCTACGGCTCGTGAGTAAGGATTTCTCTCGAGTGAGTCAATTGCTCACTTTTCTCACTAGTTGCACAAATAACTATTGGACTATTTAGTAACTCCCAATAGATGTGTGTTGTTTAAAATACAATTATAAAATTAACAGCTGTTTCATTAAAAAGTATTATCCACATGGCCAAAATGTAAACAAACCTGTGGAGGGATCTTAAAAGGCTTCTGGGGCAGAGCCCTAAGCGAATTTACTTCGTTTTTCTTTTGATAACTCATCTACAGACCAAGACCTTTCTTTGGACACCTCTGCCAAATTTCTACGCCCAGCCGTTCTCTCAAATTAGTGGAGACAAAGTTTCCAATTAAATATTTAGATTCCCCCATGTTAATCTTATGGGAGAAAATCCAACTTTGATGGAAGATCCTGCCCAAACTAATAAAGATATCAAAAAACTAAAAACACTTTGCAAAACTAAAAATCAGGCTAATTTTTTTGACACTTTAATAATCAAAATCGGTCCAAAAATGAGGGAGGAGTTCTGTTCACAAAAATCGGCTTAGCGTATCTATATATATAATTCCGTAAGTCAAATTTTTGTAAAGAAATTGTGAGTGACTGGATGGCCGTAGAAGGATGGGAGGGGTCTTATTTTAAAGGTCTTGACGTGAATTTTGAGGGAAAACTATTCATTTTTCTTATTTTTTTTACCATAAATTCGCAACAGAATAAAACTTTTCCCAGTAAAACAACATGGGGTTTAATTTGTTTACATCTTTTGAAATTAAAACAGACAATACAGCTGATCGTGATTTCTAAGCAATATTACATTTGGATTACTCATTTGCCAGTCAATTCTGCAATGTAATGTATACTATATAAAACCAACTATATAAAGGGATAACGTTACCCATAATAATCAAGACTTTTTAGTTATGTCAAAGTTGAAATAAATTGTTTTCAAGATTAAAGAAACAAGATTTATTCCACACTTTTTTTATAAATTTACTAACATTTATATTTGAGATTTATTGTAGTGTTTAATCAATATTTCTTTATGAAGTGGAATAACCTCAACGTTTACTCTTAAAAACAATTTGGGAATAAAGATGAAGTAGGTTCGTACAGGAATTTGTTCATTAAGTACTTAAGTGCTTTGTTGCTCCAAGCAAAAAAGGTTCAAATACCGGTAATATAGCCTAGCATGCACGGTAGTAAAGGGAGAACCTATATATAACAGTAGAACATGAGGTAATTTCCGTTTCTTAAAACTAACAAAAAATATTTATGTCGTGATTAGTTTCGATAACTGGGTAATAGAACCCTAACCAGTCGCAAAATAGTTAGTAATTAGACGTTGATTAGGCCCTTTTTTGGTAGAATATGTAAATCAATCGCACCTTTAGGAGGATTACCACCACATATACTTACACTAGGCTAATAGTGGTTTTTTTAAATGTTGATCAGAAACAAATGTAGGATTAAGTTCTGTCAATGGGATGCCTTTACTTAAGACTAATTTGTTAAACCTTTACAAAATGAGCATAGACTTAGGAATAATAACTGGGTAGGGTAGGAATGCTAATTTAGCAGTTTTGAACAAGAACTAAGTTTATTTCAACACATCATTTTTTGCCTTTTCCTATTTAAAGAAGACAATTTCCAATACTGTATTTCAATCGGGGAAGCCTTTTTATCAACATTAACCAAAAACCCAAAGCTACCTTAATAAACTAATTTTTATTCATAAACATGTTTGCTGCCTTTAGCAGTTAAACCTCTGGAATCATTCAAATTCTTTATTGAAAATAACATCAACAAAAGCAAAGACAAACTGTTTTTTTTTCTTTTTCACACAAAAGATATGTTTTACTGGGATATCTATCCTGACACATAGATAATTTGATTCTGAGTTCGTTTAAATATTACAATAATTTCTTTTCCATTTGAGATTTTTAGGGACTTATGTCCCTACAAGCCACTAGTTATATATATAGATGATAGGAGTGTACATTATCTGAATAATGACGTCGATCAATTCTTTTAAATGATTTATGCAGAAAATGTAAAATCCTTACAAACTGTCAAGACGTTTGTATTGGGCCTATGTGATAATGTTTATGTGATTCATCCATTACATAATTCACACCTGCTTCAGTCCCTGTAAATTATTAAATTACATGGCAGACACTCCAAGAAACGTGGTTTAAGAAGGCGAATTAAGGACGATTATTGAATAGAAGACAATTAAGGTGAACTAATGTTTAAACATCTGAAACTATTGCTCATCTTTAAATGACTACATCACGCAATAGTTGTTTAATTATGAAAATGTTGTTATTTTTTATCCGTAAAGAAACATACTGTAAGACTTAACAGTGTGTTTCTTCACCTTTTGTTCGTTTAGTTTAGTGAACGTGTCCAATAGGCTACTAGTGTTATATCACAGACAATGGAAACCTTAAAGTATTATATTGTATGGTTATATAGTCAATGCTACTACTTCTTAGGAGGCAGCACATTGGTGGTTTGGCTCTTTGGGATTCATCACTAAAGCGCAAAGGTATAGTCTAGATTCTGAAAATACCTCTTGTTGCATTAAAGACCGTAGAGATATTACAACTTGTCTCTTCTTTCATTCACAAGAAGACCAACAATTCATACATAAACAAACATAAATATTATGTTTCTAGGCTGTAATTAATAAAGAGGGGACGTGCACAAATTGCGCATTGTCACATGGTTCGATTCCAAAGCAAAATAAACAACTAATTAGCAATATTTTTTACTTCTTTATCTATAACTTGAAGAGTTATTTACCTACCTCAGGGTACACAGTTAAAAGTAGCCCATAAAATGGGTTGTCTCTTTCTTAAAACTGACCGTGGTTAAACATGCAGCTGAAAGATCAGCTGTTAACAATTAAATTCACATCCAAACCGTTATAATAAAGTTGGTTGGCGAATGAAAACTAAAAAAATCAAATTTGAAGTCCCAAAGGAAACGCGACCTTGTTAGTTACCATTCGTCACTACGCTAGATTATAGCGTTATAATGCCACCACCATCGTAAAAATCGGATGAGTATACCAATAAGGGATGTTACAGACGAAACCCTTATTGTAATAAGAATATGGAATATCACGTTCTAACAGCGAATCGCGAATCTAAGTTGATTGGTAACCGGAAGAGCAGAGTGATGTTTGCAGGTCGGGTCTAAACACCTAGACTGTGGATTAGCTTTTAATTCAATTCAACCGCATTTGGTTCATTTGATACCGTTACTCATAAATTATTGTCCAAAATACATAACGGAATCTATTGATCTTTCGTTTATCGGTCCATCACCTGTGATAGTAGGGTTAACATTCTGCATTTAGAAGATTGTTTATATCTCGTGCATTTGATTCTCGCGCGTTTGCTTACCAATCACGAATCGCATAATTAAAAATATCCGTGGAAAGAGGCCTATGACAATATTCTTTATATTGTACCATAGATAAAGCATACTCTCTTGTATTGCTTAGTCTATGATTGTACCTAAAACAAGGAACAGTTGCTAAGATCGATGATTTCGTTAAACAATAATATTTAGCTGTCAAAGCTAATAATTCAAGGTAGACCTCTCTAATCTGGATCGCGAAACTGAGCTTCCCAGCTGGTAAAATTATCAAAGGAGAATAATTATTTGTTTTTTTTTTGTCCGAGTTTCAGATCTACATTCTGAATAGCTTGGTTATAGTGCTCGGCTTCAAATATGAATGTCACCGATTCGAAACTGGCATACATTAAAACTGTCCTTAGTCCTTGATTAAGGATAGTAAATATATCAGGGAATATATTTTATCCACATCCTTTGAGAATCTGTTAATCTATTAGAGAATGATGATTCTTAAGGTCTATTTTGGTTCATTTAAGTTGTTTAATCACTCATCAACAAGAGGACTTACAATTCTTAGAGGTGTTTTGTGTTGAATCTAAAAATGGAACTCCATGTTTCATCTGTATGGTTTCAGGCTCCCTGCGATGTTTCCGAATGTAGACGACAATGGATGACATAAAACGTTATCTGGAGGCTGAGCAGAAATGTGTCCAGCTGATAGCTCAGGTAAAAATAAGTCATATATTTCTTCTTCCACCATAGTAAATGTGATCTCCCTATTGGAAACCACATTACGATATAAATAATATCATTTCCGTCATACTGCAGTAAAAACAGCCGTTTTTCATGCACGTGCGATGTGGGTCTGAAGTACCTAGCTCTGGCTGCGGCTCCGAAAAATTAGAGTAGTATTGAAACGAGTAGGCGTCCGCTACTGCGGGAAAACACGTTGAGTGTGGCATTCCCCATTACATTTAATGCTGCTCTGATGTTTCGCGTGTTTTCACGCTGCGTTGGTACGTGAAAAAACCGCCCGGTAGCTATTTTAGTCCCTATAGGAACTGAAGTAAAGCACTAAAAGTCAGCTGTGTAAATAGGTTGTAAACTTCGATTGTAGCAATCGCAACTATGAAATTATTTATCGATTGACTTAATAGGTCGTAGCTTATTGTTGCTGTTGCTATATTGTCAAAAGTTCAACATTTTGGCAGTATATTCAAAGTCTAGGGAGACTCCCTAGTCCTTGGTATAATGTACAGTAACACAATCGTCATAGACGAAATAATACTATAGTCTGCATTAGCGAAATTGAAAACAAATTTGAAAATTGGACAGTATTTTTGAGTTGTAACTTGCTAATTTATGTTACATTATGACGAAAATATAGTTCATTACATATGCAAAAACTTGAGCTTGTGCAGAAAAGTGTCACTTTATACGCCCTAGACTATGAAATGTATACTGTTTATCAATATAAGGAGATACGGTAATGATTTTTAGTAATTGAATGATCCATTTGATTTATTGATTGGGACTAGTTTTTAAACATATTACTATAAACATTACTGTATTGTCCAGGACAGTTTTCATTAAAAGATAATTCCATGAGAATGTTGACGAAACCCATGAAAGTAATAATTTGTTAAGATACTAATATACATTTTCATTAATACATAAAACTTAGGTCTAATTTCAGTTTTTGTATAACTAAACGTAAAATCGGCCATAAGTTTCTCGACACCTCGTGCCTGTATACAAATAAATAGTTTCACAACAAATTATATACTAATATAGCATGCAACCCAATAACCATGAAAGCTTTACTTTTACAGTTTCTCCTCTATAATGACTTCAGTAACTCCCTTCCAGTCTTCATAGAAGAAGCTGTTTCCCTGGACTATCAGTTGTCGAATGAAGAACTCAGTGAAGTTGACCACATAAAGAGAGAAGATGTCAAAAAACTGATCAATGTGTTTCAGTCAAATGATCACACTGAATTTTTTAAGGTATTTTAAAAAGCTACAAAATAGTTGAAAAATGTTATAGATTGTTGATTAAAATTTGTAATAATTAAATAAATATTTCCCAGTTGAACAATTCTCAGTACTGAATACTGTTATTTTAGATTTTCACACTTGCTCTTAGGTTAGTAGAAACATTTTGGAAAATGTTTAGTGGGTAAAATATAACGAAAATAAAAAAGGACAATTTTCAATAACTCCTTGTTAGCAATTGAACCACCGTTTTTATTTATTGGTTTTTATTAAAATGGTTTAAGGTTGGGCATCTTTATAAAAATTTGTATATTAGCTGGTATCATAAGCTATTTGCAAAAAATAATAACTGAACAATATCTTTTGCTTTAAAGGCTGCCGTTTTAATTTGTATGGCTTAAACTACAAAAAATGTCTGATTTCATAAAAATATTTTAAAAACATCTTTATTTACTATTTAAAGTTCTCTGTAAAAAATACAAACTTCAAAAAGATTGAATAAAAACAAGCTGAGAAATCTCAATAATTTTACTTAGTTTTGCCATATTCTAACCAAAAGGGAGTATGTTTTATCAATGGTTTTACCGTTTTTACAAAAAGTTAGTCTACTTAAAATTAATTACGTTACCTACCCTTACTTTAATCTTGCTCCCCCAAAATAGTTTATGTTTGCCAATGATTCAAACTCGAAACTAACAAGATGCCTGTCCAAGAAATATTTGTTGGTACACACCTATCTTTGAAAAAAATTGTGTTTCACATAAGCTCTCTTAAATTAAATACTGTTTCATGGGATTTATGTGGGAGAAGGAACCATTAACTCTTTATCCAATCAAGATTGATACAATGGTCATCATGAGAAGTATTTAAAACATTTCACTTCCAAACTTCATATAATCATACAAGCATATCCACAGAATGTAACCAGTGAGAAACTATAGTTATGACTAGCATGACGATTATGTTTATTCAATGTATTTCAAGAACTCCCACGGTATCTCATGAAACAAAGTGGTAACAATACATTAAACATACTATTATAATTGTAGGTATGGATGGAACTAATTCCAGAGAGCATAAAGAACATTTTTGACTACAAGAAGTTAACATTTTATCTACACGTACACTTTGCAATCCTCCCATTCAGAGAAAGTGAAGAATATAAATTTGAAGAACTGAGCTCAGAAGATGAAACAAACCTGAAGCAGGAAAACGGAGTTGAAAACAAAGTTAACAATACACCTGTAAAACGCTTAGAGGTTATAGAAGAAACTTCAAGTCCTTACTTGGAATATGATACCGACAGCTTGGACCAAAGTCGAGTTGTCATTGATAATGAGAGGAGTATTGAAGAAATCGACAGAAAATCAAGGCTTGGACAACATACAACAGAATCTGAAAATGGAAACTCACAACTATCAACTGGAATGGAAGTTTTAAAAACCTTTCTAGCGTCTGAAGGGGAAACATTTAGCTCCCAACAAGAGTTTTTACCTTTCTTCGCTCTTCCTTATGTTACAAGTCCTGATAAGCATGTGTCATTCACGGCTCTTTTTCAGGTATGGTATATAAAAATATACCTCTAGTGTTTAAGAATGAAGTTATTGCTAGTATGGTGAATCATAGTGCCCATAACTGAGTAATTTAGATTTTCTTCAACAATTAAATTAAACAAAAATTGTTACTGAGTAATTAATATTGAATCACAACTACTATCTATAAAAAGTATTAATTGTGTAGGCTACTAATATAGTTTTTTGTACTGTGTAAAAACAAATTATGGGTTATAACTGTGCAGTTTTTCACTTTACACCAATTAAAATATTTTAAGTACAGTCTACTGATCTTAAAAATTAATCTCATAATAGTTTAACCCTTTGCTGTTTATCATGTCTCAAGTAAAATCTGTGATTTATCATCCTAGTTTGAGTTAATGGAAACTTAACTTCTGAGCCTGAAACAAAATATTTATTCATTAAAAAGTATTAGGTAATTTTTGTCCATAGAAAAATTATGTTATACACTTTTAATTGGGACTCTATAGTGATTAAAATAAAATATTAAAAAAAAACTTTTGCAATACAAAACAATGTTTGCAAACCAATTGTGCAGTCAAACTCTTTAAAACGGTTTCTGTATTCAATTTCTTTTACTTTCAAAACTATCATGTAAAAATTTGCATTTCACAACTATACAAAAATATAAATTAATTTGATGTTCAGGAAAAATGGCTCAGTTCTCTGAATGAAAGATTCTATGAATTCATTTACCAATACAGTTGTGGCGAAGTTGCCCCAAAAATAGTGAAGCTGTGTGAAGAACCCGCTTTGGGAACGCCAAATTTGAGACAAAACTCAACCGATAGCCCTTCTCAGTCAAATGCAGCTGACACGCTGAGGAGATACAAACAAGCTAGACGCAAGTTCAGCAAGCTGCATAAGGATCATCAGAATCTTATAGGTTAGTATTTGTGTGGTAATGACAAATCATAGCCCATTATAATAATTTATTTTGAAAGTTATACGCTAGTGAAAGAAACTTTTGCTTCCTATTTAGATTTTATGTACTACGCACACAGTATCTAGTTTAATCTTGTTATTTAAATGTCTAAGTAAAACATTATCTTGCCAAAGTAGAAGGTAAGATTTTAGTTAAAAACTGCAGTTTAAACTGGAAAATACTTTCCAGTATTTTTTTTATACATTGCAGCAATAGGTCTTTGGAAAAAGCAAAAATTTAACTGAGAAGAGTGAAATTGAAGCTCCTCGATTAGTTGAAACATAAGCTTACCCCGAAGATGCGACACCCCAACTGTCAGCAAGTATTTCTGCTGGTTCAACATGTCATATCATGAAGACAATTCACAATTCCAAAAGTTATGAACTTAGTAGTAAATTGATGGTGTTTCTTTTATCCAAATAAACACACTAAATGTGAAGAACAAAGATTATAAAAAGTGCTTCTAGTGTTATGGAAAAAGAAATAATGGAATCTATATATATCCTTAGACACAATGTTTAGGGATTGTTATAGGGACCCAAATGAAAAAAAAAACATGACAGAAAATTTGATATAAAAATTAGGCGGCGGGCCTAACTAACCTATTTACAATTTGTTTATGTTTAAAACATATTCAGGTGTGGCTGCTGAACTCACTCAAGCTTTGGAAAACTCAGTCCGAGGCCAAGCTGTGGATTTGAGAGCCACTCTCAACAAGTGTTCTCTAATCTTTCCTGAACTATTCGGTAGTGAGTCGTTCTCCAGGAGTAGCTCACCTCAGCGAATAAAGGTAGTCAAGTTTGATACAAGTAAGGAAATAAACAATTTGATTTATGACCGATCGATTCAAGAGGTAGCTTCTCCTTTCTCCTTTGTTCATCAAAGTTTACTTAGGTCCTTGAAAGGTTAGTAAGTTTTATGAAGGATGGTAAAGTTGAAAGATGGTGATGGGGTATGATACTTAGCTATTCTCTTTGATGAGTGCAGGTATAAGGGTTTGTCAACATGATTCACCACAATGGGTTGCGTTCACTACCCATAACGATAGATTTCAGCTAGTTTAAGCAGACACACGTTTAAGAACGGAAGTATCAAATTAATGAAGAGGAATTAAATCACTGAGGGCTGTTTCCTAGAGATGGGACAGAATTGATTATTCTTGTTGGTACTGGAAGTATTATCCTTCAAAAGGTTTGCTCTATAACATATAAATAAATCCAACTGATATAATCAGGTGTTATAACATTGATGTTTATACTAACACTTACTTACTGAGTCTGTACTTTTAATTGTAGGTCCCTACAGTTGAGCCACTCAAAAATCCTAAAGTCCTTTGCTGCTCTGAGCTAGACGTTTACAAGATCAAAACTCACCTGGTATCAGCGAGTATGAAGACTAAGCTGTTGCTGCTTCAAGCTATCCGTTGGGTAACTCATTATAATGTTCTGTGCTGCGCAACCATTTGAAAATAAATGATAAAGTGAATTTTTCTTGTAAAATATGCCAAAAGCAAGTTTGAATGACTCATATGAGTGTATTTCAAAGCTTAAAATTTAAGTTGATTAAAATTAATAGAAATAAACCGTTATTAATTTTGGAAGCTGCACTTTGTTCAGTTTTTAAGATGAAGATCTAATTAAATGGATGCTAACCCAAATATGAATGAAACAATAATGTGCAACTATGATATGTTTGATTTTGGTTAAGACCATTGTTTCATTGGTAATTCATTAATAACCCCCTAGGATTAGGATAATGATACAATACAGAAGGCTTCTAACACGTTTCTCTAAATGGTCAGTATAGCTTTTGATGGTTTGAGACTGGACCCGAGCTATCTGATAATTGGGCATTAAATAATTAGTCCTAACTTCCTAACTAATGAACTAGCTGATCTTAATCAATAAAAAGCTATCATCTTATTCTATTCAACACTCCTCCTTCACTCATCTTCACCTTAAAATATGTACCCTGGTTGTGTGAGTGTTGAACGAATCTAATCTATGATAAGAGCAACAAATATTGCTTACTGTAAATATACAACCACAGAAAGAATTTGAGTAAATACTAAAATTTCTCCTCAACTATACTGATACATTTAGCTCTAGTAACTAACAAAAAAATAGACCTACATTAATATAACAGACATGGTAAAACTATACACTACATACCTAGTGTAAACTTAATCTCATCAAGTGTTTATTTGACTTAGAGAATGACTCGAGGGACCAGCGAGGAGCGTGATCAGGTTGTTATGTGGCTGTCACGTCATGACCTGCTTAGCGTGTACACGGACATGGTCAAGAACATGTTACAACCTGTTGATGCCATCACGCCTCACCCACTGCAGCAGGCTGTATCTCGCCTTCTCAACGCGGTAGCTTCACTGCGAGCTGGCCGAGACTATCTGACAGCATCCGACAGCTTCATGACACACCTGATGGCCTGCCTCAAGCAAGAGAGTGGTGCAAGACTGGACAGTGTTACTTCCGACATGCTGCTGGCTACATTGCAGAAACTTAGCCTCAGGTTTGTAATGCTGCTAGAAATAACATTCATCTGAACAACTTGCCCTAGCTGTTGCACTAATTTATAATGGAGCGTTTGCGCAATGTTTATATTTACATCTTTTTTATTCTGTTATTAACATGACAATAATCTGGGCGGTGTGATGTTGCAACATATAAACTCTGTAGCCTTGTATTAGAGGAGACTGTGTTATTATAAATCAAGAGTTCATTTTTTTTCTTATTAAAATTTTACTTATTTTGAGAAGTCCTAACATTATGGCAACTGGAATTAAATTAAAAAATTGAATTGTTTCTAGATGTATCTAGCCACATACAGAGATTAAAATCAAAAACATAATTCCAAAAAAGAGCAAATTTATCTACAGTCTGGCTACCCAGAGACTGTTGATAGTGAAATTCCAAAATTTTGTGTAAGAAAAAAGAGGATTGCAGCTAGCTTACCTTGAAAGTGTAGGTAGGCCATAGAACATGCAGAAAATACACTGTGCACACAATATTTCGTCTCCTGAGGGACTTTGTCAAGTGTAGAGAAAGAGTTTACAAACTACAAAAATTACAAATTACATTTTTTAAATTTCTAAACTCTTTCTCTACACTTGACAAAGTCCCTCAGGGGACGAAATATAGTGTGCATTATTTCTACATGTTCTATGGCCTTCCTACCAACACTTTCAAGGTAAGATAGATGCTATCCTCCTTTTTATACAATTCAAAATCCTGGCCCAGAGCCTTTCCTTGAACAAAATTTTGTAAGAGCTAGTTTGACATTTTACACTATACGTCTACAACCTAAATACTCTGCTGAGTATTGAGCTAGTAATATGGCTTTGAACCGTACAGTTCTGCCATATTCCTATTTAGTATGACAACTCAGTCAACCCTAATCTCTGCAACAGGCGACATCCCCGGCTGTTGATGATAGAGCGGTCCATGGTAGAGTGGCTGGTGTCTCAACTGAGTGGCGAGACTGAGCGTCTGTACACTCTTGAGTACAGCACAGCTCTGCTACTCAACCTGTGTCTTCACGTCGAGGGGAGGGAGCGATGTCCCACCTCGACCCTCAAACTTCTCACTGACCTCCTTGACACTGGTCAACTGCAGGTCAGTAGCTATGTCTTCATAACGTGGAGTCTTCATTGAGCTTATTTTCCTTCACAATATGATGCATTTTAAACTTGGACACCCTGTCTGGTGGAACACCTCAACAAGGGAAGGGTGAACTCTTTGTCCATGTCTGGCCTTGTCATGAGGTCAAAGATTGAATATGTATAGGTGACTTTTAAGTCCAAAAACTGAAATATTGTCCATTCCTACCTTTTCCACATCTTCTGATGGTTGTCATATAAATATCAGTAATGAAGCACTGTCTAGCCAGCTTTTGGTGGTATCTGAACATTTATGATAGGACATACATAAGTAATAATATACCGTGATAAACAACACCTAACGGTTTTAGCAACTTTCTCCAAAATATCTCTCATTGATTGTATTTCCCACCCACAGATAATGCCAATGGTTGCCAGCACACTGTACTGTCTGCTGAGTCATGACCGACTCAACACAACAGCTCGTCAGATGAACCTAGAGAGCGTACTCACTCTGCAGTCCCAGAGATACGCAGAAGAGCCTCACATCCTGCGGCAGATACAGACTCTGCTCAAACTACTGAGAGGTGAACTACCTTCAGACTCTGTACTACCTGTGTCAGAGGAACCTTCTGAGGATGACTTGGTAATCAACTGAAGATCATATGTACAGTGTAGTACTGGTAATCCAATCTGACATTCTGTGTTATCTAACCTTCCCTGTTGACAATCAAGCACATACAAATTAGGTGTGGTTTAACTGTGCACCATAGCAGATGCATCAAGATAACTCCTTATGCCACCTTCCGAATGTACAGAGATGTACAAAAGACTTTAGACATTTTCATTTGACTGTAATTTTCCTTTGTTTCTGAATGATGTACCATGGATTTTAAAGCAAAGAGTCTATCAACTACTTCCACCTGCATACCCTGCTCTCTTTCATCCCTATTAATATGAAAACCTGTGGCTGGGTGGACATGGACGTGTGCTAATTTTTTTTTTTTTAGTTTGGTCGCTTATTACGTGTAGTTATTAAACATGACTTTTGAATATTTTCAACTTTTGATCTTAAACACTATTACAATAGTTCATAGTTTCCATTATTTTCTCTAATATCCGACCTTTCCACCTGTCTGACATTGTCACACTCGCTTAGAGTGGATGATCGAGAATCAACTAAAAAAATAATTTATTTTGTAAAATTCCAATCAGGTTACATTAGGAATCTGGTATTTATAAGAGTACTTAAATTTCCTCATTCCAGGATGATCCTGAAACATTAGAGACAGAGTTAGATGCAGAAGACCCTGTAAGAGCCACAGGAGATGACCAAAGTGGAGAGCCACTACTTGTCAACCAGTACAGGAAGATTTTCCCGTCTCACGGCATCGTATGTCCTCACACTAAGGAACCTGAGATTGCCATCCTGCCTTCGACACCTAGGTCCCGACCCCCCACCAGGGAGAAGTAACTATGTTTCTATGTGATATTGAATCAATAAATATAAAAAATTATTTGTGCTTATTTCATATTTTTTAAATTCAAAGAGTTAATGATGCAAGATTTGTAGCACAGATTAAATGATGTAAGTATAATGAGAAGCTGACATTGTTCTAAGATCAAAATGTGCACTCCACATAAATTTAGATTAAAGACATGAGAAAATACAATACCAATACAAGTATGAGTGTATACCATTTTGCCCCCTGAGGAATTACAAGTCTCCAAAACATCAGCATTGACGACACGGTTGAACCCAAAAGACATCGGCTATTTTAATTTTAATATTTTGTCATGATACTCTGTTGTTTATTTTATAAAGAAAATGTTACTGTACTATCCATTTTATTATATCGTAACAATGAGAATGGGAAACAATATTATGTGTATATTAACCCTGAATACGAGTGAAGAATAGTAAAAGATTAGAATGGAGTTAGATACCTTATGTAGCTTTGTTACGAAGACCAGTTTTTTTTTCTTTAACTAGCCAAAAATTTTTTATTTATTTTTTTTAAGAAGCTAGGTCTAGTTTCAAACCATCAAAAAGCAATAGGCTTCTTTTCAGAATATACCAACAACCTAATGTCAATTAGGCAAGCACTAACCTACTCAGCTACCCAGTCTGTGCACTATAACTTTATTAATTTTAGAAAATAATAAATTTATTAGATATTGCTCTTAATTATCCAAGTACTAATGAACACTGCCTTTGAAACCCTGTTTTAACCAAGCCAACACTGAATAAAGAAATCAGAAGACATAAGCACATTTATTTACATTGTTTCTCATAGACCGCAAAACAACAATTACTCAGGACAAAACAACAATTACTGCCTCTCTTGGTGGTTTTTCATCAGAAGCATCAGGTTATCCAAGTTACTATACACATCATTGAAGTCACAGTATTGAGGGCTTGTGTCGAAAGAGTTTAGACCTCCACTACGGGTATTTGGGTCAGAGCTGAGATACGAGGGGAAGGAACTACTCCAGTCAGGTGAGCCGTAATCACTCACAGGATTGTCTGCTGGAGGTGTTCTACCAGTAGCTTCAAACCCTGATCTTGTACTCCCAGGAGAACTAACATGTCGAGGCACAGTGTACTCAGACCCAGAATATGACTTGCCTGGAGACCCAATAGGAGCGAGAGTTGCATTAGGATCCAAAAACGGGTCTGATGTCGCCCGTCTCAAGAGATTCCCATACGCCAACTGATGTGATGAAGCGTCTTCCTTCAGCATCTCCAGTATGTTGCGATACTGATCGTTACAGATGTTTGAAAGTTTCTTCCTGATGGCGTTCAACCTGTCTGGATTCACAGGACCTTGTAGAGCTGACGTGTCAAAGCTTGTGTCCAGTTTAACACTACCCGCGCTGGACATTGAGTGTCCTGCAAGAGATTCACCTGGGAATGATCTTGGAAAATTTGGCTGGTCAAAGTTGGCAGTTTCCCAGTCAAAGCCGGGTCCAAACACATCTGTCGGTGGTGGGAAATCTTCTGGGTATTCTACATAGTCGTCGCCACGTGCTTCTTCTTGGAGCACAGCATCGATACCCATGTTGAAATCCATATCAGTGAAATCCTTGTTAAAGTCATCTTGTGCAAACTCTCCGAAATCTTGAGTAAAACCACTAAAACCAGGACTTTTGTTTTGACCTGGGCTGAAAGGATTTTGAGGAGCCGATCTTTCTGGACTCTTTGGTAAACCAGTTTGGACCCTTTTATCTGGACTGTATGAATTTCTGGAAAGCAATAGTACATGTTTAAATTAAAATTTTAAAAATCTTTTAGTGTGGAAAATTACCAACAATCCAAAAACACTAATCATTGTAGAGATAACTGGGTTCAATATACAGCTAAAATACATATATTAAAATACTTCACAGAACAGTCAGAGTTTTTATCTATTTAACTACATTTAAAATACTTTCTGGCACCCTTTGTACTATTGGAATAGTTATTTGTATAACTAGTGTGCGAAGAGGATTGGGTTACACATAATATTTTTCCTACAGTTACTATAAAGCAAAAATAATTAGTCTTTCAAACACTAAACAACATGTTTTAGGTAAGTTTAATTTCAAGCGTTGAACGAAAATAGAAAGTAAACAAAAAACAACAGGTTAAGTTGTAGTATTAATACTCATTCCAAAGGCTGTGAAACGCTGCATCAGCTGATCGTAGTCGTAGTGACTTTGAGTGTTGTTAACTTATTTTCAAGCGTACACGTATTACGTGTTTTATAAAAACACACTGTTTTGTGTTGTTTGGTTGAAATACTGGAGTGCGGCAAAGTAAAATGAGTGTGACAAAAGTAAGTAAATGCAGCAATTAGCTACTTTGCGTGCTATAATATTAACAGTGCAAGGAAGCCTTTCCTGTTTTGTCAAATAACTGTAGGGGAAAAAATATTGCACCCAATAATCAGGAGAAAGTAAAACAAATAAATTTAATAAAATATTGTTTATTACAAATAAATACATACAGTTTTTCATCACTGCTATAAAGATATTAACCGATAACTCCCAGAATTTTTAGCTGAGCATCAAAGGGTGATAATTAAGTTAATAAGCTTGATTGCAGTGGGTCAATAGATGAGTTGAAAAATTGTAAATCACAAAAACCTCTAATTGTAATTATTTAAGTGGCACTTTTCAAAAATGAATTTTTTTAAGTCAGATAATTTTCTGCATAAACTCGTCGTAATTTATTATTTCCTATCCAAACACAATATTCATCAAAAACCCAAACTAGAAGAACTGCTTGATAAATTAACACCCGGACTAAATTTACAATTTCCCAACACAGAATCCAAAGTAACACTTTGTGTCTTGGCTGTATTGCGGTTTGTTGAAACTATTGTATTTTCATCCTGTTGAAAAACATGGGCGTCGGCAATTGGCTTTTCCAAACTGGTGTCTTTTTTAAGATCGTTAATAATTTCACATAACTGGTCCTTACAAATATCCACCATTTTAAGCCTTAAGGCGTTTAATTTCTCAGGGTTTAGTGGAAATTGAAATACCGACTCGTCAAAGTGAACATCTGTTAGAATGTTATCTTTGTTCAACAAAGAATGTTCTCTATGAAGACTATCTTGGGATGATCTTGGCATTGGTTCTTTCGAATCTGGTTTCAAACTCACATCACAATCATCAGCTTGTGGTGGAAAAACAGAATGATCACCACCATCTCCTGTACAGCCCACTTCTTGGAGAATTCGCTGTAACTCAATACCTAAATCTGTCGCTCCTAAATCTATTTGGCTCTCTTCTTGGTTGACCGCAACGACCCTTTCTATGCCGATGCTGCTTCGTGCAGAGTTACAGTTGCTTAACTCCCTGCAAACACCATTACTTGACTACTTAACAGATTACTGAATAAAACACTAAGCTTTCAATCATTGACTTTATTTTTTCATTTTATCACAATGAAGCTAGTCTATAATCAGATAATAGTAGCAATAAAAAGCAAAAGTACTAAACAGTATGAAGATCTTTATTTCAACAAAAAAAGAAAGTTTCATCCTTCATCCAACCACAGATTTCAAATTTAATTGCAACTGTGAAAAAAACGAGGCTTCCATATTTCACTGGCTGCTGGATAAACTGGAGGTATAGCTTTGAGCTTAATTTCAATTTACAAATGTCCGACCAACTTAAAGTATTTTCAGCTATCTATTAGTACATTGTAACTATTTTAAGTTTGATTTTTTTAACCTTGATCAAAGAAATATTAACTAAGTTGAATTGGTATACCACAAGACTTCCTGGAAATTTAAAATCTAGCTACTTTTGCACAAAAATGCCCACAAACTTTTTTTATAATATACATAGTGATTGATGTTCAGAGTTGTGATGTTTATAAAAACATCAACTCCACAAATAAAAATGGAATCCACAAAAGATTACGACTTCCTCTTTGTTGAGTAGAAAAAGGTAGTAGAATCTAGACATAGACAATATTCCGAAAAATGTTGGATCACGTTAGAAAATCTATAAAATGAATTTTTTTAGTTAATTAATTGGCAAATAAAGGTTTTTGTTAGTTGTATAACCATCTACTACAACAGACTGATCCTATAGTCCTAATCTAACCTATAGTCCTAATAACCTAAACTTTTATTTGTAAGTTTTGATAACCCATCAATGTTGACGGTGAATTTGTTATGAAACAAACCAAAATTGCAGAGATTAGTCACAAAAGATACATTAGTCTAGTTTCCCTAAGTATTTGCTGAACTTGAACGTTTGAACATTTTCCATAAAACTTTTGTGACCTGTATTTACAAAATATTTATTTGATGATAAGAATAATAACAACAGTCGGACAACAGTCTACCTGCCAAATTCAGAGAAATTACCAATATTTCAAAATTCAAAAACAAGTTTAAGATGTATCTTTTACAAAAACAGTTTGAGTCTATTTCTGAATATTTGAATAACAGTTAAACATTTTTTTATTACAGTAGGCCTACATTTATTTAGTTTATAGGAATGTTTTGTAAATCTAGTTTTAATAATGGACAATGTCACCTGTTTCATCAGCATTGCTAAAAACTTGAAATATTGTTGAAGTATTGTGACAATAAAGGAATATTTCATTTAATTTCATTTCATAAAAATACACTATGTCACTCTACCTGTCACAATCCGTCCCTTGCTGCAGTATTTGCTGGCGCTTCTCCGAGAACCAAGCCTGCATGTCCCAGTCGTCAGGTAGGGGGAGTGTTGAGCCGGGTGAGCAACTCCTCTGCGCCCTCATGGCCTCACACTCCTCCCTTGTGGGCACCTGAACGCCGGGTATTCCACCAAACATTAACTCCATTGTGTCAGCTGTATTTGCTGATCTGGAAAACAAACAATGATTATAGTTCTTTAAGAAAATGTTGAGGTTGAAACCCTTATTGTACTACATTTACTTTAATTTTTTTTCCTACGACGCTAGGCACGAGCCCGGAATTGTTTTTC